TCCCAAAGAAGGATTTCTGAAATGCCTTGAGCCTATAGTGAATAATGTTTGGAATGTATACATGTTGTGAACCTCTAGCAAAGAGTATTTTGATATGTTTTGTACAGTATATGTTTTAAATGGAAAAAAATGGTTTACATAAAGTCCTGACCAGGGGCGGACTGACCATTTTTGGAAACTTGGGCACTGCCCAAGGGCCTGGGTCAGTAGGGGCCCCCATGAGATCCCCTGGTACCTTTTTCATAGGCTTTTTTTTGAGTTTGGGCAAGGACACAGGGGGCCCCATGATCCCCTATTCCCGGGGCCCCATGAGTTGTCAGTCCGCCCCTGGTCCTGACCATGACTGCAAATGGTGTTACAGTATATATAATATTTAGGGACATGGACATATAGCACACACCGTCTGGGTTTTCAACTGCTTATAGGTCTCAAATCTTATTACATTTTAGGGGATAGTTCCTATTCCCATAAATCTCTTTTCATAAGGGATAATCTGATTACCTGATGATTTCCACTGAGCTACAATAAGGAAGGATTTATACATTTAATAGAAATTTAGTAACAAAGTTTCATGCAAGAATATTATAGTATATTGTGGCCAATATTCTTTGCTTAGTTTTAGCAAATAAACAAACATGAGGTGTGCAGGGGGTTGCAGTAAGGTGGTGAGTAGAGATGAGCGAAGTATTCAAAAAATTCGATTCGACTGATTCGGCGAATTCGTAGAAAAAATTCGATTCGAGTCGAATATATTTCGCTGTGAATTTAACTTAAAAAAGGGTGTTTCTACCTAGGCTTCAGAGAGACACTGAACACTGTAACCTTTAATTTAAATGCCCTGGAGTCTGCTGGGGAAGAGAAATAATACTGTCAGGCAGTATGACATGCAGATGAGTGCCGTCGATCTTAGAATCACCGCACACTTCACTCATTGGCCAGTCACGGGGCCAAAACCAGAGTGTGGAGCCACAGTGTGGCGGTGGAGGCAGCAGCAATGGGAGCCATGCAGCACCCTATGACAAAAATGGAAACCACCAGCAGTGTGAGGAGACCTGAAAGTGGCACATGGCAGAGTGTGGCGATAGAGACAGCAGCAATGGGAGGCCGTACAGGGACCCATGACACACTCTGGACCTGGCAGCAGCATGAGGAGGCGGTACAGGGGCCCATGGCAGATTACGGGCCTGGCAGCAGCATGAGGAGTCGGTAGGGGGCCCATGGCAGATTACAGGCCTGGCAGCAGCAATGGAGGCCGTACAGGGACCCATGACACAAATCTGACCTGGCAGCAGCATGGGGAGGTGGTACAGGGGCCCATGACAGATTACGGGCCTGGCAGCAGCATTTGGAGTCGTACGGGGCCCATGACACACTCTGGACCTGGCAGCAGCATGAGGAGCGTACAGGGGCGCATGAAACAGATTACAAGCATGGCAGCAGCAACTTGGACAGGAGGACGTTCAGTTTTCTGCACCGTCTGGTGCGTGCTCGCAAACTGTTTTTGTCTCTTGGAAACGGATTCCAAGAAAGACTGCTGACGGAATCCGTGAAGAGGAGTAGCAGGAGAAGGACATCTGAACGAGCGGAATATGCCAACAAGCGACAACAGGGGCCCATGACAGATTACGGGCCTGGCAGCAGCATGAGGAGTCGGTACGGCGGGGCCCATGGCAATTAGGGGCCTGGCAGCAGCTATTGGGAGGCCCGTAATCTGCCAGCACCCTATGACAAAAAATGGAACCCACCAGCATGTGAGGAGACCTGAAAGTGGCACATGGCAGAGTGTGGCGATGGAGACAGCACAATGGGAGGCCGTACAGGGACCCATGACACACTCTGGGACCTGGCAGCAGCATGAGGAGGCGGTATAGGGGCCCCATGGCAGATTAGGGGCCTGGCAGCACTCATCTATGGAGGCCCTAATCTGCCAGCACCCTATGACAAAAAAATGGAATACACCAGCAGTGTGAGGAGACCTGAAATTGGCAACATGGCAGAGATGTGGGCGATGGAGACAGCACAGCAATGGGAGGCCGTACAGGGACCCATGAAGACTCTGGACTTGGCAGCAGCATGAGGAGCGGTATAGGGGCCCATGGCAGATTAGGGCCCTGGCAGCAGCTAATGGAGCCCGTAATCTGCCAGCACCCTATGACAAAAAAAGAGGGAACACACCAGCAGTGTGAGGAGACCTAAAGTGGCACATGTTTTGGGCATGATTCATAGGCGGATTTAGTCAGTTGTGTCAGGAACTGCGGTGGTTTGAAATCCAGACTAATCCACGCCTGATTCATTTTCACAAACGTCAGTCTCTCCACACTTTGGGTGACAGTCGTGTCCTCCGCGGAGTTGCAATACCTCCTGCCGCACTAAACACGCGCTCCGATGCCACGCTACTGCCGGCATGACAGCCTTTCAAGGGCAAATTCACTAGTTACGGGGCCAAAGGTCAAGTTTCGTTGCCCAGTAGTCAAGGGATTTGTCTACCTCGTTGGCAGGGTGCTGCCAAGTAGGCCTAAGCCTGTTGTTTGAGGTCCTGCTCCAGTCCACCTGATGCTGCTGCTGCTGCTAGCTCTGCTCTGCGGCTGGTTAGTAGTTTCCTCACTGCGCTGGTGAAGAAAGCTACTCATCATCGACTGTAGCAGACTGAGGGCAGCCGCTGCTGGTGGAGCTGCCACTGCGCTCCTACCCCCCACCCCCCCCTGCTGCCATGGCAGCGGAACGCGAGCGCACAGGGCCCACAGTGTCTGAGATGGACGTTGGCGCAGACAGGCAGAGACCACTGACTACATAGGTGGTTTTTATAGTACGTTATTTTGGCCTCCCTCTCAGCAGGTGTGAAAAAGGCCACCATTTTGGAACGGTAGCGAGGGTCCAACAAGGTGGACAGCCAAAAGTCATCCCTCTGTCTGATGGTTATTATTCGGCTGTCGCTACGCAAAGCAACCGAGCATGCTATGTGGGCCATTTGTGCCAAGGAATGCGAGGGACTCCCTGCCTCCATCTCCACAGCATACTGCCACGGTGCGTCTGGTCCTCTGTCTCCTCCTCCTCCTCCTCTACCAGATGCTCCTGCTCCTCCACTCCTGTCCGCTGAGTGGAAAAACCACCCATTTCACTCAATAATTCCTACACCAATGTCCTCCTCTACCTCCTACCTCCTCCTCTTCTTCCTGTCCTGCCCCCACAGGGTCATGTGGCGTTGAGATCTGTGCGCCACGTCTACCGCACCCTGACCAGCCATTGTTAACAGCATTTGTTCCAGGACGTGCAACAGAGGAATGACGTCGTTTCATCCCATAGTGGCCCTGAGCCGACTCACGAATACGTGGCCTCCTCAAAGGCCCTGAGCAAGCGCAGGTGTCACGCATGAGCTGCCAATGGCTGACATCTAAGTTACACAGGAATACCTTTATCCGCTTTTAACATCAGGAAATCTGTGATGGTCTTTTGCTGTTCGTAAAAGGCGTCTAACATAGGTAGGGTTGAATTCCACCTTGTTGCAACGTCACAGCATGAGGAGTCGGTATAGGGGCCCATGGCAGATTACGGGGCCTGGCAGCAGCTATGGGAGGCCCGTAATCTGCCAGCACCCTATGTCAAAAAAAATACACACCAGCAGTGTGTGAGGAGACCTGAAAGTGGCACATGGCAGAGTGTGGCGATGGAGACAGCAGCAAATGATGGAGCCGTACAGGGACCCATGACAGACTCAGGACCTGGCAGCAGCATGAGGAGGCGTATATATAGGGCCTATGGCAGATTAGGGGCCTGGCAGCAGCTATATAGGAGGCCCATAATCTGCCAGCACCCTATGTCAAAAAAATTCTACACACCAGCTGCATGTGAGGAGACCTGAAAGTGGCACATGGCATGAGAAGACTCTGGACCTGGCAGCAGCATGAGGAAGCGGTATATAGGGGCCTATGGCAGATTAGGGGCCTGGCAGCAGCTATGGAGGCCCTTAATCTGCCAGCACCCTATGTCAAAAAATTCAACACACCCAGCAGTGTAGGAGACCTGAAAGTGGCACATGGCAGAGTGTGGCGATGGAGACAGCAGCATGGGAGGCCGTACAGGGACCCATGACAGACTCTGGACCTGGCAGCAGCATGAGATGAAGCGGTATATAGGGGCCTATGGCAGATTAGGGGCCTGGCAGCAGCTATGGGAGGCCCTTAATCTCCAGCACCCTATGTCAAAAAATTCAACACACCAGCAGTGTGAGGAGACCTGAAAGTGGGCACATGGCATGAGTAGACTCTGGACCTGCAGCAGCATGAGGAAGCGTATATAGGGGCCTATGGCAGATTAGGGGCCTGGCAGCAGCAATGGGAGGCCCATAATCTGCCAGCACCCTATGTCAAAAAATTCTACACACCAGCAGTGTGTGAGGAGACCTGAAAGTGGCACATGGCAGAGTGTGGCGATGGAGACAGCAGCAATGGGAGGCCGTACAGGGACCCATGAGAGACTCTGGACCTGGCAGCAGCATGAGGAAGCGGTATATAGGGGCCTATGGCAGATTAGGGGCCTGGCAGCAGCTATGGAGGCCCATAATCTGCCAGCACCCTATGTCAAAAAATTCTACACACCAGCAGTGTGTGAGGAGACCTGAAAGTGGCACATGGCAGAGTGTGGCGATGGAGACAGCAGCAATGGGAGGCCGTACAGGACCCATGAGAGACTCTGGACCTGCAGCAGCATGAGGAAGCGGTATATAGGGGCCTATGGCAGATTAGGGGCCTGCATGCAGCAATGGGAGGCCCATAATCTGCCAGCACCCTATGTCAAAAAATTCTACACACCAGCAGTTGTGTGAGAGACCTAAAGTGGCACATGGCAGAGTGTGGCGATGAGACAGCAGCAATGGGAGGCCGTACAGGGACCCATGAAGACTCTGGACCTAGCACAGCATGAGGAGGCGGTATATAGGGGCCTATGGCAGATTAGGGGCCTGGCAGCAGCTATGGGAGGCCCTTAATCTGCCAGCACCCTATGTCAAAAAATTCAACACACCAGCAGTGTGAAGAACCTGAAAGTGGCACATGGCAGAGTGTGGTGGCGATGGAGACAGCAGCAATGGGAGGCCGTACAGGGACCCATGACAGACTCTGGACCTGGCAGCAGCATGAGGAGGCGGTATATAGTAGGGGCCTATGGCAGATTATGGGGCCTGGCAGCAGCTATGGGAGGCCCTTAATCTGCCAGCACCCTATGTCAAAAAATTCAACACACCAGCAGTGTGAGGAGACCTGAAAGTGGCACATGGCATGAGAGACACTGGACCTGGCAGCAGCACATGAGGAAGCGGTAGGATAGGGGCCTATGGCAGATTAGGGGCCTGGCAGCAGCAATGGGAGGCCCATAATCTGGCCAGGCACCCTATGCAAAAAATTCTAGCACACCAGCAGTGTGTGAGGAGACCTGAAAGTGGCACATGGCAGAGTGTGGCGATGGAGACAGCAGCAATGGGAGGCCGTACAGTGGACCCATGAGAGACTCTGGACCTGGCAGCAGCATGAGGAAGCGGTATATAGGGCCTATGGCAGATTAGGGGGCCTGGCAGCAGCTATGGGAGCCCATAATCTGCCAGCACCCTATGTCAAAAAATTCTACACACCAGCATGTGTTGAGGAGACCTGAAAGTGGCACATGGCAGAGTGTGGCGATGGAGACAGCAGCAATGGGAGGCCGTACAGGGACCCATGAGAGACTCTGGACCTGCAGCAGCATGAGGAAGCGGTATATAGGGGCCTATGGCAGATTAGGGGCCTGGCAGCAGCAATGGGAGGCCCATAATCTGCCAGCACCCTATGTCAAAAAATTCTACACACCAGCAGTGTGTGAGGAGACCTGAAAGTGGCACATGGCAGAGTGTGGCGATGGAGACAGCAGCAATGGGAGGTCTCCCATTGTCCCAACATGGCCCAAATAGTCCCCAACATGGGCCCCCAGGAGCCACGCCTTGACTTTCTGGCCACATATCGACATACGGCTACGTTTACTTCCTCGGCGGCTTGACGAAAAATTGCCACACCGCCGAGTAAGGAAACTTTGCCCCCGATACTGCCTCACTGGCTGACTGCTGCTTCCTATCTCCGTGCACACCGGCACCACTACTAGGCCGTGGTGGTAAGGCTGCAGTTGGACTGGTGCTTCTACGCTCCGTGGCCTTTTCCACTGGCAGCCACTGACACTGCTGCGACCCTGCCTGCAGTCTCCTGGGCAACCCACCGACTGTTTTGCTCGCTGCCCAAGCTGCCAGCCCCCTCTTCTCCTGATGATGCGGAAGAAATTGCCTGATGACGACGAGGCTGGCCAAGTGCGATCAACCTCCTCATCATCAAGTAGGGTCTCCGCCTCACTACTAGCCCCCTCGCTGCGTCTGGGTCAGGAGAACAGACCTGTCTCTAGACCGGTCTACCGAGCCACTCTCCTCGCCACTACTACTTCTTCGCCTGCTGCTGAAAAGGCGGATGTCTCCCCCCGTTCCTGACCGCCCTCTGTTAGCTCTTCCTCACTGTACAGTGGGGCTGAGCCCACAGCATGCGATACTTCGCTTGGTGAGGGAACACCAAAGGACAGGGGCAAGGTAGAGGACACGTGATTTCAGTGGGCTTGGTCCCGGGCCATGCCAACTAACGTTGGAGTCTGACGTACCCACCGACCGTTGGCTGTAGGTGTCAGAGGTGACCTGGGAAGAGGAAGGCGACCGAGCCAACCAATCGACGACGGCAGGGGTTGTCGTGGAGACACGACCGCTGGATGACACCGGGAGCACTGGCCTCTGCTGCGAATAGTGGCTGCTCCTCGACCCCTTCCTCTGCTGCCACGTCTGCTCGCTCCTAAAACATTGCCTCCTCTGCCACTCACTGCATGTTTGTCTGACATACTCTTTAATAAACGATTATGTGTCCCTGAGTAACAATTCTGTGTCCCTGAGTAACAATTCTGTGTCTGTGCGAGTAACAATTCTGTGGCCCTAAGTAACAGTTCTGGCCCTCAGTAACAATTCTGTGTCCCTGATTAACGTTTCTGTGGCCCCAAGTAACAGTTCTGTGGCCCTCAGTAACAATTCTGTGTCCCTGTGCGAGTAACAATTCTGTGTCTGTGCGAGAAACAATTCTGTGGCCCTAAGTAAAGTTTCTGTGCCCTAAGTAACAATTCTCTGCACTCAGTAACAATTCTGTCTGTCCCTGAGGGGAACAATTCTCTGGCACTCAGTAAACAATTCTGTCTGTCCCCTGATAAAAATTCTGTGGCCCTAAGAAAGTTTCTATGGGGCCCTGAGTAACAATTATCTGGCACTCCGTAACAATTCTGTCTGTCCCTGAGTAACAATTCATTTCTGGCACTCAGTAACAATTCTGTCTGTCCCTGAAAAATTTCTGGCCCTAAGTAAAGTTTCTGTGGCCCTGATAACAATTCTCTGGCACTCCGTAACAATTCTGTCTGTCCCTGAGTAACAATTCTCTGGCACTCAGTAACAATTCTGTCTGTCCCTGAGTAAAATTCTGTGGCCAAGTTTTCTGTGGCCCTAAGTAACAATTCTCTGGCACTCCGTAACAATTCTGTCTGTCCCTGAGTAACAATTCTCTGGCACTCAGTAACAATTCTGTCTGTCCCTGAGTAAAAATTCTGTGGCCCTAAGTAAAGTTTCTGTGGCCCTGAGTAACAATTCTCTGGCAGCGTGTAACTCCGTAACAATTCTGTCTGTCCCTGAGTAACAATTCTCTGGCACTCAGTAACAATTCTGTCTGTCCCTGAGTAAAAATTCTCTGGCCCTAATTAAAGTTTCTGTGGCCCTGAGTAACAATTCTCTGGCACTCAGTAACAATTCTGTCTGTCCCTGAGTAACAATTCTCTGGCACTCCGTAACAATTCTGTCTGTCCCTGAGTAACAATTCTCTGGCACTCAGTAACAATTCTGTCTGTCCCTGAGTAAAAATTCTGTGGCCCTAATTAAAGTTTCTGTGGCCCTAAGTAACAATTCTCTGCACTCAGTAACAATTCTGTCTGTCCCTGAGTAACAATTTCTGGCACTCCGTAACAATTCTGTCTGTCCCTGAGTAACAATTCTCTGGCACTCAGTAACAATTCTGTCTGTCCCTGAGTAAAAATTCTGTGGCCCTAAGTAAAGTTTCTGTGCCCTGAGTAACAATTCTCTGGCACTCAGTAACAATTCTGTCTGTCCCTGAGTAACAATTCTCTGGCACTCAGTAACAATTCTGTCTGTCCCTGAGTAAAAATTCTGTGGCCCTAAGTAAAGTTTCTGTGGCCCTAAGTAACAATTCTCTGGCACTCAGTAACAATTCTGTCTGTCCCTGAGTAACAATTCTCTGGGCACCGGTAACAATTCTGTCTGTCCCTGAGTAACAATTCTCTGGCACTCAGTAACAATTCTGTCTGTCCCTGAGTAAAAATTCTGTGGCCCTAATTAAAGTTTCTGTGGCCCTAAGTAACAATTCTCTGGCACTCAGTAACAATTCTGTCTGTCCCTGAGTAACAATTCTCTGGCACTCCGTAACAATTCTGTCTGTCCCTGAGTAACAATTCTCTGGCACTCAGTAACAATTCTGTCTGTCCCTGAGTAAAAATTCTGTGGCCCTAAGTAAAGTTTCTGTGGCCCTGAGTAACAATTCTCTGGCACTCAGTAACAATTCTGTCTGTCCCTGAGTAACAATTCTCTGGCACTCAGTAACAATTCTGTCTGTCCCTGAGTAAAAATTCTGTGGCCCTAATTAAAGTTTCTGTGGCCCTGAGTAACAATTCTCTGGCACTCAGTAACAATTCTGTCTGTCCCTGAGTAACAATTCTCTGGCACTCAGTAACAATTCTGTCTGTCCCTGAGTAACAATTCTCTGGCACTCAGTAACAAATTCTGTCTGTCCCTGAGTAAAAATTCTGTGGCCCTAAGTAAAGTTTCTGTGGCCCTGAGTAACAATTCTCTGGCACTCAGTAACAATTCTGTCTGTCCCTGAGTAACAATTCTCTGGCACTCAGTAACAATTCTGTCTGTCCCTGAGTAACAATTCTCTGGCACTCAGTAAACAATTCTGTCTGTCCCTGAGTAAAAATTCTGTGGCCCTAAGTAAAATTTTCTGGCCCTGAGTAACAATTCTCTGGCACTCAGTAACAATTCTGTCTGTCCCTGAGTAACAATTCTCTGGCACTCAGTAACAATTCTGTCTGTCCCTGAGTAAAAAATTCTCTGGCCCTAAGTAAAGTTTCTGTGGCCCTGAGTAACAATTCTCTGGCACTCAGTAACAATTCTGTCTGTCCCTGAGTAACAATTCTCTGGCACTCAGTAACAATTCTGTCTGTCCCTGAGTAAAAATTCTGTGGCCCTAAGTAACAATTTTTCTGTGGCCCTAAGTAACAATTCTCTGGCACTCAGTAACAATTCTGTCTGTCCCTGAGTAACAATTCTCTGGCACTCAGTAACAATTCTGTCTGTCCCTGAGTAAAAATTCTGTGGCCCTAAGTAAAGTTTCTGTGGCCCTGAGTAACAATTCTCTGGCACTCAGTAACAATTCTGTCTGTCCCTGAGTAACAATTCTCTGGCACTCAGTAAAATTCTGTCTGTCCCTGAGTAACAATTCTCTGGCACTCAGTAACAATTCTGTCTGTCCTGAGTAAAAATTCTGTGGCCCTAAGTAAAGTTTCTGTGGCCCTGAGTAACAATTCTCTGGCACTCAGTAACAATTCTGTCTGTCCCTGAGTAACAATTCTCTGGCACTCAGTAACAATTCTGTCTGTCCCTGAGTAAAAATTCTGTGGCCCTAAGTAAAGTTTTTGTGGCCCTGAGTAACAATTCTCTGGCACTCCAGTAACAATTCTGTCTGTCCCTGAGTAAACAATTCTCTGGCACTCAGTAACAATTCTGTCTGTCCCTGAGTAAAAAATTCTGTGGCCCTAATTAAAGTTTCTGTGGCCCTAAGTAACAATTCTCTGGCACTCAGTAACAATTCTGTCTGTCCCTGAGTAACAATTCTCTCTGGCACTCGGTAACAATTCTGTCTGTCCCTGAGTAACAATTCTCTGGCACTCAGTAACAATTCTGTCTGTCCCTGAGTAAAAATTCTGTGGCCCTAATTAAAGTTTCTGTGGCCCTAAGTAACAATTCTCTGGCACTCAGTAACAATTCTGTCTGTCCCTGAGTAACAATTCTCTGGCACTCCGTAACAATTCTGTCTGTCCCTGAGTAACAATTCTCTGGCACTCAGTAACAATTCTGTCTGTCCCTGAGTAAAAATTCTGTGGCCCTAATTAAAGTTTCTGTGGCCCTGAGTAACAATTCTCTGGCACTCCGTAACAATTCTGTCTGTCCCTGAGTAACAATTCTCTGGCACTCAGTAACAATTCTGTCTGTCCCTGAGTAAAAATTCTGTGGCCCTAAGTAAAGTTTCTGTGGCCCTAAGTAACAATTCTCTGGCACTCAGTAACAATTCTGTCTGTCCCTGAGTAACAATTCTCTGGCACTCGGTAACAATTCTGTCTGTCCCTGAGTAACAATTCTCTG